GTCCCAAGCCCAACTTTGGGAACCAAAGTGCAGTGGTTCCCAAACTTTTCAGCTTTTGACCCACAAAATAACAGAGAAAATAGCAGAGACCTGTGCCCCCAGATATTTTTGGATGATAAACATTTGCATTAGGCCAGCTAAATATGGGCATAGCAACAATATTTTTTATACTACATTTATCCATTTTAAATATACTAACCTCACTCATTTGTAACAACTAAGGCAAAAATGTAATTAATTCAGAAAATCTTTTCAGGACCCCACCTTGATGTTTCAGGACCCCACTATGGGTCCCGACCCCAACTTTGGGAAATACTGCATTAGACAACACAGAAATGACTTTAAATCAGTCAGTTTTACAGAAACTGAGCTAAAACTTGAGGTGGTAGAAGAGGAGAGTCATTCCAATATTTATTATTAAGTGGTTGAACTAAAACATAATTAKTAATAGAGTTAAATAATAGTTTGTTAGCTAAATATCCTATGAAGCACAGGATTGATTGTAATGAAACTTTCAGAAGGCATTAACTGGTTGCACATCTATAACAAATTAGCATTYGAAGCTACATCAGTCAACACAAAAATGGCTGCAAATTGTCAGTTTTACAGACAGCTAAAGCTTGGGGTGATAGTAGCCGAAAATCTCACAAGATTCCACAAGATTGTGTCATTTACAAGGTTTGACCAAACAGGGCAATTCTCTGTCATTTCTCAATTTAAGATGGTTAAAGGTCAAAAGTTATTTCAACCTGAAGATTGAAGATGATTCCTTCAAGAAATGTTTGGTTTCTAACCTGTAATAATGTGCCCACAGGTTTTTCAGCAGCACCATAAAAATGTTAATATTCCTGTGAAAAGCATGTTTGCCAATTAAAACACAAACAGATGTTTCAGTCAAATGCCAGTTGCCTCACACGCCACGGGTGGGCGAAGAAAGTCGAATTCACACTCCTCTTCCTCAGGCAGACGAGACCTGCAGAGGAAAACACGCCAACTCTGTATKCACAGATTTGTTGACCCCTGAATATTGTCATCATCTTGAGTATTTGCACCTCATGAAAGCACTAGATGCAGAGAGGAAGGAAGGCACAGGAGGATGCAGACAGCATAATTTAAACTGTGGGACTTATGAAGATGTAATTACATTGGCTGTAAAACACTCGGGCATACGGATTAGACCTGAAGCAGATAATTCCTTTGCCGTGAGAGTGAGTCCCATGCTTTATGGAGGCAAAATGAATTTGAAGGTATCTTGTGACAGAGAGAAAGAAAAAAAAATTCATCATCATTAGTCTGCCTGAGTCTGCAAACAGATGCAGGAGGAAGAAGCTGTTTGCTTTTGATTTAATTTTGCTGACTGCCGCTGGATTTGTATTTTGAGATTCCCTAATGAATGTTTATTGATTTTTTAGTATCATGGAAATTGCAGAGAAGTGAGAGGAAACAAACAGCAGGGGGCGCAAGAATCATCTGTTTGCGCGTAAATCCTCACCAACCAGTGACCTGTAGCCAAAGTTAAGGTTTTCCTTCTAGTTTTCTTTGAATTRCATTTATTTATTTACGTGTTTGAAGGAAGTTTCGGAACGAATGTGAGCTGAAACATGGCAGGGGGTTAATGTGGAAAAAATGGCACGATTTAGTGACAGAAGAGCTTCCCTCAAAGTGAAGTGAATTTATTGATTTGCACACATGAGCTACTGTTTATTGCTCTTCTGTGAGTCGTTCTGTGGAGATCACTCTCAGCTGGATGCAGTTTGGTTTGAATCAACACCTGCTGATTGGTTCAGCTGGAAGCTGTGTCATCTAAAAAAAGATAGAAGGATAAGCAAATAAATAATAATAATAATAATAATAATAATAATAATAATAATAATAATAATAATAATAATACATCAACAACAAGAAGTTGCTCTGTGATCTCCTCCCTCCTCCTCCTCCTCCTCCCCCTGGTCCTGTTGTGCCCTAATTGGTTTTTGGGACTGCTCTCATCCTGATGACATCACCGCGAATCGGTCAGTCCCACGCGCGGACAGAGCGTCGCGCTCCCACACTTCACAGAGGGACTAGTTGCTGAAGCGGAGACACCTCATTACATCCCGAGCACCAGCTGAAGGGGAAGATACTCACCTGTGTGCTGCCAGGACGAATTAAAAAGGATTCCTTTCTTTCTTCTTCTTCTTCTTCTTCTTTTTTTACAGGTTTAAACTCCGAAGACGCAGAAAGGACTGTACTCTTTTTTTTGGTCGTCCGTCCGGAAGAGAGAGAGAGAGAAAAAAACAAGTTTTTCTTCTTCTCTATTTTTGTTTTGTTTTATTTTTGTTCTCCTTAYTGAGTGACTGACTCCGAGTCTTATCCGAGGGGAGGGTTTGCTTCCATTTCAAACGAATTCCGGAGAGACTTTGTGGAGCATAATGGCGAAAAATGACAAGAGAAAAATGATCGGACTGCTGCTCTGCTTTGCTGCGTCGATACTTAACCAACACGGTAAGAAACTACGTTTTACAAGGCTGAACACGGTTCACTTTTTTAAAAAAAAGAGAGACAAACTATTTCCATTTGAGGTGTTTTCTGAGTCCAAGTAAACTGAGGTAAAATAAACCAAATCCCGAAAAGCACCTGTCAGGATGTTGAACAGGGGAAAACTCGACAGGTGATTGTCAAAAGTCGAGATTTTCAGATTTATTCTAAAGTGTGTATATTTTACTGTTCCTTCATGATTTAGTGTAACTGATACTTTCTTTTCTGATYCTTTCGGTGTTTTCCGGTCATTGGAGTGAGTTTCGGTGGTGACTCAACGCCATTCTGTTTCCCTAAGGTGTGGCTCTCACAGGTGAACAGCTGAAAAACAGGCTGCTCTGAAACAGCTGAGGCTCAGTCGCCATGCAGCCTTTACTTTTTCTTCCCTCTTTTCACACATCATCCTCTATTAGTTACACTTCAGCTAAGAGAAAAAGGACACAGCTCCAACTTCATCACCACCATCATGRTCTAAACGTGCTGGGTTTATTTAATCTGGATCATTCAGTGAACCACCGACCAGTCCTGCTCCTCTGGCTTCCCAATGGATTATTCAGGTGTTTTCTACCTTCTGCTCAGGTAGAGAAACCCAATCACCTCCTTCATTTGCCATTTAAAGGGACAGTGTGGCCATTTTTGAAGTGGTGTTCTCTCAGCAGCAGTATGTTGTGCCTTTTGAAGTGTTAGTGTGAAGTTATGAAGTTTTATACTATTTTTTTAAGCTTCTAAAACAACTATTTCAATGTCATACGAATGTGAAAGAACGCTACTACATCAGCTAATTGTACAACTGCACACTTGTGTGAAGTTGTTTTGTTTAGTTTGTGTCTGTTTTTTCTCGACGTTAATGAATGTGATGAGAAGCTGCTGGGTGCAAAGGCACACCAGGACTTTATTAAACTTATGGACTGCCTGGACCAACAAGATGTATTATAATGAGTTATAAGACCAGAATGTGGAAGTTGAAGCCACAAGGCTTGTTGCAGTATAGATTTTAAACTCCGCCCCCTTTATGTAAATGAGTGGGACATTTCCTGAGTAAAAAATAAAAGTAAGTTTCAAATAGTGTTTGTTTTTTTCCCCCAGTTGGTATGTTTGTTGTGCATTTATTTCCCGAACATTTAAGTCCCAAATATTGAATCTTAACCTAAAGAGAAGTTCCATGTTGCCGTATGATTGACACCATGATGAGTTAGGAGGTTGGGACTTTTTTATCAAGGGTTCAGCCCCCACCTTTCTAGTCGGGGTGTAAATCACAAGCTTTGTCACAATACGTTGATTTATTTGGATGACGGTACGATTTGTCTCTATAGCAAAGTCAATCATGATACGATTTTGATCCAATTCACTTCACACGTCATCGATGTATTGATCCACATCTGGCTTAAGGTAACAATATGGATCGATGTTTTCATTTTGCCTTAATGTAATTGAATCAATAATCATTTAATCAATATATCGATGTAGATTGATGTATTGTTACACCAYTGCTTCCCAGTGTGTGGATACTGGCTCCAAAAATACAACATGGCTGCACCCAACAGGCTGACATTTAAAAGTGAACAATGAGAGAAGGCGTAGATACGGTCCATCCTTATTAATGTCAATGAAATACACAATTTATCCACACTCAGAACAGATACATTTGCATACCAACATCAGCCTAGTTGGGTTAAGAACAAACCCACAAACTCAACAAAGTGACCAATCATAGTCCTCAAGGGCTGAAATCCTGCAAGTTTTACTTGTTTCCCTGATCCAGTATACCAGATTCAGTGACTGAATGACCTGTTCAGAATCTGCAGAAGCCTGTTAATCACCCATTCCTTCAAATAAGGTATATTGGAACAGAGAAACCTCTAAATCATGCAGGGTAATGGCCCTGCAGGACCAGGATTGGACATCCCTAGTAGCTAATGTGATCCTGATCTAAAATGGTACCTTGTGTGGCTAGCCTAGCCTGGACAAAGACCTTTGCCCTTTTCTCTACATTCCACTTTGACCTCACGTCTGATAATGTACCAACTATTCAGAACTATTAGACTCTTTTTTTTAAAAAAGGACCAGACTGTCCTTTTTAAAAGTAAAAGCAGTAGAACCAAATATTCCTGGCATGTGGTTGAATTAGCATATTTGTGTGTGCGAGGCGTAAAACCAGTTCATCATTTTCTTTTCTTTGTCTCTCCAGGCCAGCTATTTGTTTTCTAGTGTAATTGGGGCAAGAATGTAGGACTCGATCTAACGTCCCTGGCAAAGCTACGAGTATACTTTTTTTTGGTTTGTTTTAATGGGATGAACTCAAGTGGGGTTTTATTGTGGTGTTTTTAATCTGCCTTCATAAAAGCAGTCACTTTTTTTGAAGGTCTTCATAGAGTGGACCTGTTTTGTCCAATTTCGTTTAACAGCACATGAAATGCTCTTAAGAGGAGAGAAGGAAAAAGGGGACTACAATTAAAAAAAACAGAAGATTTTACATATTTATGAGCATGAAAAAATGGATCAGTCAGGACAAACAAGAAACGGATTTTAGTGTTCATCCACTGGAGTTTTCTAACTTCCATGTGATGTAATGCAACATAAGTTTATTTTATTTTATTGTTCCTATTTCTACTCAGACTTTGTCAACAATCACTTATGTCTCATCCTAAATATAAAAATGCGAGAAACTATTTTTTTCTCAGCATAGTTTGCCGTTTAATATGGCTCAAGTTTTAATTATACTTCAGTACGGCGTTTATGGGTTTTCAATTAGGGCTGGCCTCTGTAATATTTCTGTACTATTATTATATAAATGCAGTATAATCAAAGTAGGCAGGTGGGCTTCCRGCTTAAGCTCTGAAATTACATTGTAATACCACCCCCACTCCCCGACTCTGGAGCAAAGATGTGGGTCAGAAAAACTTGGCCCATCACCATGGAGATGTTTTCATTGGAAGAAGGGTGGGGATTTCATGTGTGTGTGTGTTGTGTGTGTGTGTGTGTGTGTGTGTGTGTGTGTGTGTGTGTGTGGGTTAAGCAGGGGCTGTGACGCCATGGCATCATTGTCTTTATGGCTGAGTAAGCCCCATGTGTGCAGGGGGTGGCTGGGCTGGTATAGGTGCCTGAGAAACTGGTAGACGTGAGGGAGGGTGGGTCAGGGCTGGTGGAGGAGGAGAGGCTACTTCCACTGGCATATACACATTTTTTTGTGTGTTTGCATATCTGCAAATATGCAGCTAAGTTCTTTGATGATTTTCATCAGTTTTGTGAAAACAGGTGGATTTTGCRCGGCCTGCTGCTCTGCCTTGTGGGGTGTGTGGCTAAGTTTCTGGACTGGATGCAAAACCCAACGGGCAAAAACTGATTAAGACTGGAGACACCCCCCCACATCCCACCTACCAGTTGAAATGTCCCCCTCTCTCCCGCCAACCCCCCACCTCTGCTCTCGAGCACATAGGGACCTTGTTCTTTTCTCCCCCCCTCCTTTTCTCTATCTTTCATTCTGTCCTGTCCAGAGCTTTTGTCTGACTGATGGTAGTGATAGGATCATTCAAATAGCTCCCCACCCCCCAACCCCCACCTTTCCTGTTTGCACTCAAGGTTGTGCTGTTTATGACTGGGGTAACATGCACTGCAGACAGGCAGGAAAAATAAACCACATGTGACCTCACCCTGGTCTATCACCAGGATTGTTGGATTTATTGTTGTGGCTCTGATGGTTTTTTATATATATATTTTTTGTTTTGTCTTCCCACCAACCATTATAGTAGATTTTTAGAAATGATTTGAAATTTGTGGTTCTTCACAAGTTATTTCAACAAAACCTGCCCTCCCATGTGTGCGCACACACACAGACACACAGTTTGTACACTCAGTGACTCTAATATAGTGATATTTCTTTTGGCAGTCCTTTGTGTGCAATAGCTCAAACTATTAGGTCTAACTACTTCCCTCCACATAGTGTGAACAGTGCAGTCCTGCCAAGCCCAGGACCATTCATCATCACAACGGAGAGAGTGCACTGTACTTTGTCCATTAAGAAGAATGTAATTCATGAATCATGAGAAGTTTATTTTTCTCTTGAAGAAAATGAGTGAGGGRGAGAACGAAAACCTTTAGTATCTCATTAGTCTCAGTGGCGCAGAGGGTCCGTGGTATTAGTTTGGTTTCTGTGTTAATAGCTGTCATGGTTCGGTCCTGTCACTATGTAAATGAGCTGTCCGATCCCCRTTGCACCGGTCCTGTAAATGCCAGAAGGATTCTTGAAAAGGTCGGGTGTGTGGGTCTACGAGCGTGTAAGAAAGTCACGTTCCAGTTACGGTACCTTTTTTACTACATGCGTACACATGTAGGTACTAAAGAGGGGTTTCGCTGTTAGAACGAGACGTCAACGACTTCCTTATAATAGCCATTAAGAGTCTGTTGATTCAGACGTAAAAGGGCGCTTGAATTTACGGCCTAATGGAGACGTATAAATGAAATGGAGCTGCTCTGTCTTTTCTACGTTTTATGCTCTGTGGCAGATGTGGCTCCAAAAGGGTTTGAAAAACCAATTTTCACACGATTGAAGAAAATATTTGGCAGTTCACCAAATGACTCTCCTGATTCGAACACTTTCTTTGATCCACCGAGTATGTTATTGCAATGAATTTCATCCTATTTAGAAATTAATTACCTCATTTAACAATAAACCAGTGATGGATGGAAAGCTTTTTAACTGAGGTGTTAAACAGTACGGTAGGATGATGTTTGGTTATTTTTATGGTCGCTCTCTTTGTTAGATTAATGTTGAGACTCAGCAACTTGCAAGATTTTAGATTTATAGATATTACCAATAAATAAATAATTAATTTTTGCTCTGTAAACATTTCATTGCCACTGGCCAGAAATGCAAACGATCCATCAACGTTATTGTTGACTTGGCAGATATTGTTAGACTGGGTGGATGGATCTGACAAGGGGGAGCTCGATGAGCACCGGTTCCTGCA